TGAGTGATGGATCCGTGATGGATGAGTGATGGATGAGTGATGGATGGATGGATGGATGGATGGATGGATGGATGGACGGATGGACGGATGGACGGATGGACGGATGGACGGATGGACGGATGGACGGACGGATGGTGTTCGGGTTAACGTCCATCTTCCCTTGTTATTTTACTTATAGCGTACGGGTAATGTAATGAATGTAATGTAACAGGTTAGGCTAAGTTACCCCCAGCAACGGCGCAAGGCAAGAGTTTACTCCAAGTCAGCCATGGCGTGAGCGGTGCAGGGAAGCAGGAAGCCGACGGGCAGCCAAGTCCAGTGTGACCCGATACGCAGCAAGCGCTCTTCACCGCTGCGGGCCACAACAACACCCTGCACATAACCCTCACCTAGCCACATAATAGCCTTGCTTCCCAACGCAAACTCGGCGATGTCGACATGATCATCCGGCAGTGGAAGTTTCTTTGCATCCCAAGCTTCGACCCGACCTTCAAAGCAATATGGCTTCGAGGTGCTGGCACCCTCTCGATAAAGGATCAGCGAGTCGCCTCTTGGTCGCAGTACGGTAGCCAAGTGGTAGATCGAGCCGTTAACGGATCCAGACTCCTCCACACTCAGGCTGTCTCCCGGATGCCAGCCAGTGCCGATGCTGCCCTCACTCAGCCTGCCAGTAGCGAGGAGCTTGTGCAAAACCGGTTTCGACGGAGAGGAAACTCTGCAGCTGCGAAGTGCCAGGGCATACTTCACGTGCCACTCCGCATGGAGCAGCCGACATCGGGCTTCCGCCAGCCGCTGCACGGCCGGCGAAAGGGACACAAAGATCTCCCGTGCATGGTGGTTGCTAAGTACAGCCAGTTCCTGGTCCGGCTCTGTATCCCACACCTTCTGTGCGCCAGAGAAGTGGGCGACAGCGATCTCGGGCACTTCTGTCTTCTGCCAGGTTTGCGACAAGGGCACCCCCGAATGCAGCTGCACCTCGAAGTTGTAGAGCTGGTTGAGGTGGCTCCACTCACCCTTCATCACATTCGAAAGGTACTTCTGCTCAGGAGACCAGGCTTGGACATGCCACTGAGGATCTGGCTCTAGGACATCCGCCAGAAGCAGCTCAAAGAGCTCTTTTGAAGGAGCAAGAAGCATGGTGCCGGCATTGATGTAGCACATGTCATGGGAGAGTCGCTGCCCATGCTGGCAGTGGCTATCATCGAAGCCGCTGCGCTTGGCCGTGCTCATGGCTGCCGGGGGGCGAAGTTCGAAGAGCTCGTCGATGTTGCGCAAAACGATCATATCCAAATCTAGAAAAACAACCCTGTCATAAGGCAGTACTTCCGGGTTAAAGGCATGCAACTTGGTGAAGACTTCTCGGAATCTTGCTTTGTCGCTTGAGACATGGAGATCCCCAGCAGAGATGATGTAGGGCACCTGCTGCAACTGCCAGATCTGTCCAAGCAGCTGCAGTGAATCGGCATGCACATCCTCTGTGTGCAGCAACACTCGCTTATGCTCACTTCCACTGAGCACCAGGCTTGAACCCAAAGCCAGGGCTCCCATGACGTAGGCCATGTTACTCCCATAAATGAGGCTTGTGTAGGCACAGCTCGGGGGGCCACCAATCCCATCTCGGCAGCAAGGACAAAAGTACGGCGAACTCGGCTGGCCCGTCGTATCGAATTTCCCGCACTGTGAGCATGTGAAGCTCCGGATGACGGCTCGCAGGGGATTCAGCAGTGGATCAGCGGGAGGCATGGTGAGGCAGATTGGCTTGCAATGACACTACTTCCTAGTGGCAACATGAAAGTCTGCAAGCAAGACTGGTACAAGAAACAGGTGCTCCAAGCTCGTCTCAGTGATTGACAGCTTGTATGCAGCTCATCATTGCACCTCTGCTAGGCAGCAGAGAGCCTGGATAAAGGGCTGCAACGGACGCCGGCAGTGAGACGAACAAGCTCATGCAGCTCATGCAGTCGTATCCCCAAGCGCCCCCGACACAAGTGTCAATGTTCACACCTGCAGGAGCCCGAAGCCCGAAGCCCTTCACCCGAACCTCAAGCCTTCGACTTCGAGGGGCGAGAAGCCAGGAGGCGAAGACTCGAACCAAACTCCAACGCCCTTACGCCCCAAGCCCCGCACCCAAAACTAAACCCTTCCTGTGCTTTCAAAGCTAAACCCCCCTGCTGCCCTCGTGCTCATCCACCTCCGGTTCTGTGGGGCTGCATAAGAGGGACTTACTTTGCAAAAACCTCAGCGACCTCAACCCCCAAGACCACACGCCATTGCAGGCTATAGTACTACTTGGAAGGGGATGTGCGTACAACTACAAGACTCACAAGACTCTATGATGTGTGTCAACAAATTCTACCGGCCGACACTATACAAAACATACAAAAGAATACATGGAATACATGGCGAGGTCGTTGCACTACGGCGAGCGGAAAATCTGATGCAGCACCTCACCGCGGTATCACATACCCCAAAATAGTGGAACATAGGAGGCTTCTCTTACACAGTACAGTGCCATCCAGCCCTCCATCCATCCGGCCATCCCACCATCCGGACCCTCCGACCACCATCCATGCAACGACCGGTAGCACAGGGCAAGGCACTACAAGGCATTACAGGAGACACCCCAACTTGCTAGGGATGTTAAACCATTGAGGTGCCTGCCTCTCCAGGCCTGCGAGAAAACCGCTACAAGGCTCAAGGAATGAATCCCAAGTTACTAAAGGTACAAAAGCAATACTACATTTACTAATACGGATTTTAGAACTACCATGACATCATAAAGCCCTGCTAAACCCCAGAACCCTACAACCCGAAACCATAAAACAAGAAACCCACTAAATCCTAGAACACTCAACCCCAAAATCTAAAAACCTCAGAACCTAAACATGCGAAGGCCCCCCCCCCTCCCCCTCCAAAAAAAAGGATAGACTCCTTGATGCTGCGCGTCTCCCCCCAGGCCGCAGCACGCAGGAGCTCCTCCCGCTGGCAGTCCTCAGGGCTTTGGGTTCTGAGATCCGTTCTTGACTGTGCGAGTGGTGTATACCGTCTCGAACCTTTGGGCTGTCGCTTGCAGGAGCCCCCAGATAGCATGGACGACCGGTTTTGGCACACCCCGAATCCTGCGAACCTAATACGTACTATGAAACCCTTATGGTAGCCCTTATAGGGCTCCATCTGAGCCCAAAATCCTGCACACGGCCTGCGTCGGGTAGCCCGCGCTGGGCATCGTCGAATCGTTTGCCAGGATCGCGGCAACCTGTCGGATCTCGAGAAGCTCTCAGGAAGAACGGATTGGGTCTGGGGGTTAGGGGTGGGTGGAGGTTGGGGGTTTGGGGTTTCTGGCACAGGAGGTTTAGGCTCTAGGACTTGCAGTGCTTAGGGCGCGCTCAGGCTCGAAACCCTAGATCGAGTACCCAGCATGCCCCGGACTAAACCTAGCCCCCTGAACCTCATAAACAGAAGATCCTGAAGCCCTTGAAGCCCTTCAAGCACGTAAGATCTGTCGAGCCCCACACCCTTGTCCCGAAAACCCCTCTAACCTGCTTGAGACCTCTTTAAAACCTATCAGCCCTAAACTGGTGAAATCCGCAAAACGCGTGAACAACACCAACAACCTCTAAGACTCTCACCCCTGCAAACCAGAACTGTCTTAACACATTCCAAAGGCTCAGTTTAAACACAAGCTCTTGCTAGAACTGCAAAAACTCCAAGAGTCCTTAGACCAGATCAGCCCTAATCCCTTCCTTTGAGCCCATGCCTTCTGCATCTCCTCGTTGAGGCGCGAGCGCAGCAACAGTCTCTCCTGAGAGGTGGGCGAGTGAGGGGCGACGATTTCGGCATTACGGTTGATGAACCATGATAGTGTAGGGCCTTAATAATTAGAATAGGGTTTTGGGGCCCATGATACTATCATTAGAAAAAGGAACTCCAAAACAGCATTGATAACTATTAAGGTTATTCAGGCCCCTATATTACCATCCTCTTCTGCGCTCTCGGGACATGTATCGCAAGCGCAGCCTGAACAGTGCCAGCAATGCACGATTCTGCCAAAGTATAAGGAATAATCAGGAACCCCCAAAATGGTATTGGTAGCT